AGATTACAAATTATACATTTTTTAATTCAATGTTATTTTGACTATAACGATACATCTATGATGAGTTTATTCAATAAATGTGTTACTTGGGACTAATATTAGTGTTTAGAATGTGCAATAACACTTCGTCATGAGAGGTTGATTTCTATTTTATTTTTTGTTCAAGTTAATCAGACTGTGGATTTGAGTACATCATTTCTTACGTAAATTAGAAAATTCTTTGTGGCAAACGTAGAACAGTACCACATCTGATTTTGTGATAAACCTAGGACGCTTAAAGTAATAGAAAGTTTAAGGTCTACTAGGGAAGGATATGCGGCCGAGCCAATCAGCGGAACTGGGCTTCGACCGCTCGTTGACTCGGCCGCCTTGTGCCAGCCAAACTTGCCTTTCATTGGTCAATGTTTTTCGTTAATAACTCGTAAACAGAGCCGTGGATTGCATTTTCGCTCAGGAAAAAGTTGCTTCAAACGACCTCAGGAATCGCCCCAAGTGTTAACATAATTATGGGACACACTATATACATTCACACGTACGCAATTCTACATAGATTTAACGTTTGTATTCATTATAAAGTTTTCAAAAAAAATACGACTCCTCAAATCTGACACCAAAAACTACACGGAAATTATCAACTTACGAAACATCTCAGAAGATACACCGGAAGACAGACTGACGTATCGGAGTGTTTCCATCGAGAATGCCCAATCGTCGCCGACATCGACGCGCGATCCAGCCGAGCGAGTCGTTTGTCATCATTACTAGCGACCCAGTAATTAAAACTCGCCGCGTTTTGATGGACGAGAAGAGCGGGAGCAGATTTTTCGCGGCGTCGGAGATGGATCGCGCCCGTACCACCCCCGCGAAAATCGTCGCGCGATACTCGTCCCCCGTTCCTCGTTCGATTTGTCGGTATTTTTTTCCGTCGCTCGACGTCGCTCGCATTCGTCAAGGAAATCTGCAATTTTCCGTGAAGTGGGTCGCCCGATTCAGATATATCGCGAGTCGATGACGTTGATCGAATCCCTGGGAAAATTCGGGACACGTTCCCGCGACCGCCCCACCGCGGACTAGATTTCTATCGGCGCAGTTTCTCTTCTTCGGTAGAAAAATAGCAAATTTTCCGGCGCGCACTGGGGACGACACGCCGCGCAGATTTTCGCAGAGAGAGAGAGAGAGAGAGAGAGAGAGAGAGAGGAGCGGAAGCTTGCCGGGGTATAAGGCATCTAAATGCATCGAAGGCATAAGGTCTGATGGGAAGATAGATCAGCTCCTTGATGGGGGCGGATGCGGAACCGGCGGTATAATTATGGGGAAAACTGGGTCAGGCTCCACGGTGATGCGAGCTTACCCGCGCGGTCTTTTAATTTCTAAAAATCTCCCGGCAAACAATTTCGTTTTTTAACCCGCCACTTTCTTCTGCCAGAAATCCCATCACGCTTCAAAGAACATTCTTCGCTCAAATTCCGTGGTTCCGGCGGTTCTATTTCGAAAACAAAGTAGTTCTTTGATATGTGTTTTCTTTGTGCAAACACGGGTTTAATTTATATATATATATATTTGGAACAAAATAAATCTAATATTTATTTGGAATATCTTCGGATAATACCTTTCTCGGTTTACATTTTTGGAATTCTTTCCTGTCCGGTTTCTCTGCTAATTGAATTTATGTTTACAGGTTGACTGTAAACTACATGTTCCTCTACATGTCATTATTTTTGTTGTTGTATTCATGCTGTTTGTTTGTACAAGGGATACGTTATAACGGAAACGAATGCATGCGTGTACCGTGCACGCATCGCCTCTCGAAAACCTTTCTGAGCCAATTATACCGAACATTCTTATTTTCACGATTCTATTCTCAATTTCCTACGGTCGTGAATCTCCAGTTCCGATGGAGTTAATGGGTGTAATAGAGGTGCTGCAGGTTCTTCTGATTTATAAAAACGCAATCCGCTGTTCAGAAACAGATGCGTCTGCGCAAAAAGAATAACTTTCCCACGGGGCGGGAGCAAACGTTATTCCGCACTGAATTAATTATCCACGCTCGACTCGACGGTAACGCCCGGCACTGGTGTACGCTGATCGATATTCGATATTCTAATTCGCCACGATGGTGACATGTTTATGGAAACGTTCGTGGCGCACGTGTCATTACACCGCTCGCGCTCATATTCGATCAAGACCATAGGTTCGAAATTAATCAACGAAAATACGAAATAGTTCCAACGGAACACGCCGATCGATTCGCTGGATATTCCGGTTCTCTATGAACATTAACACCGCGGCGTCACGGCAGCTAGTCGAAACTACAGTCGGCATTCATTCGGCACTATGAAAAATAATTTTCAAATTTCTCCGTGCACGTATCGCTGTTTTTTACTTCATAGTTCATTTTGTTTCAATATTTTCCACCACTATTCGATAATTGAAACTCGCTCGGAAATTCATTTTAACAAGTTTTAGCAATTCGTGCGAATGTTATTAGGAAACAAGCAATTGCGCGAAGAAGCAGACAGAAATTGTTTTTCACACATTGAAGCTCTATGTCGAAGTATACAGTGTCTAACAAAATTTCGGCAAAATTGCTGAATACAGTATTCGAGGTCCAAATCAGATGGCGGAGCATCAAAATAAAACTTACGAGTTTTTTAAATTAATTATTATTATTATTATATAATATATAAATATTATTATTACATATTAATATTATTATTATATATATTAAATTTAATTTTTAACACGAACAATTGAGAAAATCTGGTCGAAAGGCACAGAATTCGTTGCTCACATGTGCCTAACAGAATTTCGGTACACTTGCAAAATAAATTATTCCACGCGAAATTGAACCGAAGCATCGCCATGATACAATTTGAGAATTGTACGAATATGTTAAAGAAAATAAAAGTAGGAAAGGAAAATATGGAAAGGCAAATATCGGTTAGAAACGTTCCCAAATGAAGTACAATGCAGCTCTCGGCCCAGTTCCTCGTTCATAGAGCCCGAACGGTTCAGAAATCAGGGCGACGCTTATCAAAACAAAAATTTACTCCGTCCTTTCCCGATATCACAGAAGTCCGGACACTCGACCTAATATTTGCGGCTAATAGATTGTCGAAACGCGGGGAAAGGGAACCGATTAGAGGTAGTATTAGAGGCAGAAATCTTTTCTCTTCCACTCTGTTTAGCGGCGGACTTTAATTTCTCCAAAGATTTTCGCGAGCGACTGCAATTTTGATCCCGGAACAATGCAATTACGGGATTACAACATCGATTGCCCTTTTCCCGATTGGCCAGCGAGTCGAGCAAATGAGAAAAGATCGGAACGTCGAACGCCTTTCTCGGAGACTGAGTTTTGTCGGAAAAGAGCGTTCCCCTTTTTTCGCACCGGCGGGATCGCGTTCCGCGCGTTTTTCCAAGGAATCACAAAGTGAGAAGTTGACCATGCGTAGCTAATTTAGAATTCAAGAGCCCTTTGAGAACGTAGAACCGCGCGGAGTGTCGAAACGGTACCTGGAAATTGTTTTCCGCTGTTTCTTTCCAGATTACATCGTGTCGATTCCCGGTAGCAATTGCAGTTTCCAGAATAGCGGTCTCATGAACGCAGAATGGTTTTATCATTGAATGCAACCTGCTGGTTATCAGTCACTTTTTTGCGAAACACTAGATACAGAATGCAAGGTTTTTATCTCTAGCATCGTAACAGCGAAAATCGAATTAAAATGTCTGTCACGATTAGCAGTTGCGAAACTTTGTAAAATAATGTGAACGACTCTTTCTCGAACGTTTCCAGTTCGTTCGAAGGTTGCGTCTCGAATGCAGATGGAAAATTTATACACGCTTGAAAAAGATACAATCGCGTCAAATGCACACTTGAAATTACAATTCCGCGTTGATCACTCATTGATACTAATCGAAATATTTTTACATATGATCGCACAGTGCCAGAATTTCACGAGAGGTATAAAATATTCCATTATGATACGATATCGTCAATTGTTTTCACCTAGTTATTATTCGTCACTTGCCAACGTAAATATGTACTCGACTCCTGCCTCCACAGCTGCCGCTGATTATCGACTTTCTCAAGGCCACATAGTTTTCGATCAACAAGAATCACGATATCTTGTGTGTGTTCCTACTCGTGTCCGGCCTTATCAATCATCAAAGTGATGAAATTGAATGGTAATGCGATGATGCAGCGTCTTCAGCATTATGCGAAACGCAGATAACGCATCAGATTATCCGCCCTATGATTCCTATGTTAGTGCTATCCTGGTGAAAAATGCCTTAGGTATCGGTTGAAACGCTAAATTAGTTGTTATTACTAAACAGTCGATGTTTATGGAAAATAAAAATGCCCTGCATCGACTGTACAAAACAGTATTTCAGGAAACGAATTTCTTCTTTTAATAGTTCACAAAAATTGGGGATAATATAACGTTGTTGTGTAGTTCTTGCGAAAAGAACTCCACTGATCCACTGATCTGCTCTTTACTGATCCATGTTTGCCACAATTGCAACACTCTTTAGTCATCGCAGAAGGGTACTATGATTTGGCGAAGATTACGACACGTGCCGAATTATATCCAAAAATAAATTCTAATCTCAGACATTTTGACGGGGCAATTCGAGTGCGATAACATAAAAAGTTCTTTAAAAAAAAATAAAAAAGATAATCTCCGATGAGATAAAATCTCTTTATGAATGGCACTGAGAGAGAGATAATCGTATCGGCAATAGTAAAAATACTAGTTGAAGCTCCGAATGAAGATCTAGGAATTTCTATGGCCGCATCTTATTAGAATCAATCGATGTAAGCTTCCTAAGGGATCCTAAGGGATCAATGGATGCCCAGGATCAATCGATGCCAATCGATCACCTTCGCGACTATGTGCAGAATAATAAAGCAAATATCGTTACATAAGTCGTTGACGTCGCGGAGGGAACGACAATCTTTGGAGAATTGTCAATGGCGATTGATAAGAGCAAGCTATAAAGGATATGCTGCGATCCATCGAACAACAGATCCCCAGAGTCGCGGCTACAAAGCTTTTCTCATTGCAAGCGAAAATGCGCAACGTAATATTCTTTGCCACGTGCTTCGCCCTCGTGGCGATCGCCTTTGGAAACAACCTGATCATCGGGAGACGTCAACCGGGCGAGATAGTCGTTAAAGACGAGATCATTATGAGGGTATGTTGCTTTCTTTTTTCACGCCGGAACATCGTTGAACATTTCTGCACATTAATTTTATTTGAAACCGATCAATTTCATTTGAAATCATTTCATTTGAAATAATTCTATTTGGAACAATTTTAATTTAATTTAATTCGAAATCATTTTATTCGAATCAATTCTATTTGGAACAATTCTTTTAATCTGTCAAGTGATAAAGAACTCGGTTAGCATTTGAGACTGCGCGAGAGTCATTCAAAACGACGATTCCTGCGTTTTCAGCCGCGAATTTGGGGAAGACCGGAGGCCGCGATCTGCAGCGCGTCGGCTCCTGCCGGATCTGAGATCTCGTTTGTCAGTGTGGAGTCTTGGAACCCATGGATAGTCGGCATCAGACCCATAGAAGGTGGTGTCGGAGCAAACAATGTAGTGGTATCGATAATTGGGAGACCAAGCTGGGGATTCTCGGTCAGGTGCATTATCCTTGCTGTACATAAAAAGACAACGACTGCTCGGCCGACTACCACACCAAAGACCACTACACCAAACTCCACAACTCCAGAGACTACGCCTTCGGAGCCACCAACCACTTCGCCAAAATCCACAACTCCAGAGACTACGCCTTCGGAGCCAGCAACCACTTCGCCAGAATCCACAACTCCAGAGACTACGAATTCGGAGCCAGCAATGTGGACATCAACACTAACACCAACCCCACCTCCAGAGTATACTACTTCAGCTACTCTGTAGAGTATCACGACATCAACCACTACTCCAGAGAGTAGCTTGCCACTACTCCAGCACGTACCAAGGAAACAACCATTTCTGCAGAAAGCATGATTTTAGGACTTAATACAACGCTGAAAAGATTCGTGGAAAGTAGACATCATGTGATTGCTAGCAGTCCAAGCATGCGAGATGCTAGTATTCGATCGTTAATGAGTCGTCGTATATGATTTTTATGTTCGATAGCACCGGGTGGTGTTCAATAAATTATTGGATAAATTGTTCAGTGCGTCTTTACGCCGATCCTTGTTCCTTGATGACAATCAAATAATCGACTGCGGACTTCAAACATGGCCAAACGTCCTGGACGATCGCATATCTGTGCATATTACGGGCGACGACATTTTCTAGAGCAAGCTGTCTTTCTCTATTATTATCACCGGACTATGAATCTTTGCGCAAATTTCTATTTTAAAAGTTTCCTTCGTCCACTAAACCGATAGATTACTCATTGTGAAAATAAAATAAAAATATTGTGTATGTTTTATTGTGTATTTGAAGAATTTAAATATCCCAGAATATCCCAGAAATGCATAAAGGTCCGCTGTCTAATCGTCGTTCTTGTGGTTTACCATCATTGTCGCTGTATGTACATCAACCAATGGAAATAGAAACATCCGTCGCATTTGATCATTTGATACACATACATATTCAACTGTCGAACAGTTAAGAACACAGAGCCGCAATTATCCCGATGCGTCTGTCCAACGCATCTTTCATAAATGAAGACCAGTTGAAATGGTTATAACTTTATAAGGAATAGTCGCATCGCCATCGTCGAAAAATCGTTTGAAATTGTAGAATCACAACTTTCGAATGCCTTTCGAAAATTTTAGATCCATTACAACTCGACAAAGTTACAACGCTATAAAGAACTCTTTGAAATTTCTCGAAAGTTCCGTAGTAATCTTTCGTTATAAACTTCCTGATTCAACACGGAGCGAATTACATTTTTTATTCGAGCTACCTACATTCGCACCAGTTGAAAACGACTTTCAGCGTCTTCTCGGGTAAGTCTGTTAACACGTTAAGTGCCGGATATCAATCCTGGAAATTCCCACAATGTCAAAGTCATTTAATTAATGAAACCGAAACCAGATAATTAAAATTTACGCTTTAACTCTTTTCGAGTCTAAAAATCCCAGTGAGATTCAGTTCGTTCTAATATGTCAACAATAAAAATGAATTTCAATACCATATTGGGCAGTTAGTTGACTGCACCTCTAACGACTTTAAAAATTATAGAAAAGAAAAATATAACATTTTACTTAATCAGACTAAAACTGAAAAGATAAGATGCATGACGTCGATTACATGTTCAACATTCTTACGTTTTATGGGTCCTAAGAAAATTAGGAAGATATAACAGATTAGCGTACAAATTAATTTTCAAATCTAAGTAATTAATTGTGTAATAGGTGACATGACAGTCAAAATATGTGACTGTGACTACACGGGCGTTTTTTCGGCGTTTTATACGCCGCAAACAATAATATTATGCGTTAAATGACGAAGAAAACGCGGCTTAACGCAACAATCACGTAATGATTACCTTTTTCGGTCACGGTTAACTGAAGATTTCGGTATCACGATAGTTAATGATAATTCTGAATGGCTTAAAAAAAATCTGCATATATTTCGTGACCCAATAGCAAGTGATGAGAAAAGATAAATGACTTGTTTGTCCGCGATTACAGATTACTGATTAATAATTACAGATTACCAAATTATAATCATGATTACTGATTCGTTCTAGCAACGACTAATCGTTTAACGAATGTGACTACATAACGTAATCACAAAATAAACGATTACTGGCCAATTTTGCTTCGGCAGACGGGTGAAGACCGCTTGAAACTCCGATCGCCCGTAGATCCAGAAATTCTTATCGAGATCTAGGATTCGGTGCAAGGCAGAAGGTTTCTAACAATCAGCCAGCTAGCCAGCCAGCTTTCGTCGCCGTGACGCCGGCGCCGCGTCGTCAGGAATAAATTAAAATTCCCGCGAGAAGGTACAGCCGTGCAGCTTGGTGTCGCGCGCGCGGAATAACATCCTTCCCGCTTGTCACCGCTTACGTATTTTCAGGTGCCATTGATTCCGTGACGGGGGGATGTAATTCAGTCGTAGCCGCTTGAAAATTCTAAGCACAGACGTTTCGTTGCTAACGCGTTTCTAGGAAATGCTCCCCGGGGGCGACGTCTCTCAGGGCTGCATCGCACGTAAGCCACCACTGTTACTTGATTCGCTTCATCATCCGCAACCGACTTAGAGACGTCTTCTTCTCCGGTACAACCGCCTTTCGGTCGCCTCTTTCTCGTCCCGCTCCGTTCCGTTTGTCCCTTTCATTCTTTTTCTGCTGCGCGTGCAAGCCGGCGCGAGGCGGCGACGAGTTCACACGCTCGTGAAAATTGTACTCCAATTTGGTAAAATCCGATTTGTATGGATGGTTGGGATCGCGATATCGAGGACTGGATATCGAGCGCCGGCACCCGTGGAATTTTGATGGCATTTACGTGGGGGAATCAAGTGGCGTTCGCATCCGCCTCTTTGAAAAATTAATTCTTCCCGTCCCGCTGATCAGCCGGGCTTCGTTAAATATTTCAACGAAAACGGAAACGATCAGCGGCCGGCCGGCCCCGGTAATCGTTTCGAGCCGTTCGACTGGAAAATATAAAATATCCGCTCCGCCAATGGAAAACCGGTCGCGAGTCGCGTCGTCCCAGACCAGTTTGTTAATCGAAATAATTGCCTTTAAATGAGATTATTCCGGCCGGCGTTAAACAATCTTCCCTTCTGCCAACGACTTCGTTCCCCTGCTTTTTATCCGAATAACGTATCGGCGACTGTCGTTCCTGATAAACCCTCCCCCGATACTCGATCGCTGATCGTGGTTCTACGCCGAGCGACGTGACGCAACGTAATTAATTTTAACACCGCGGCGAAGCCGTTTTCTCGCGATAACGAGATGCCTCCGTTACGTCACGGAACCAGGAAACGAGTGAAATCTGACCGATACATCGACCGATAAGCTCATTACGAAAGCCACCTTCATTTCAATTCGCTATATATTCGGCTGTCGGCGGCGTTTCTTCAATTTGACCAGTCGATTCGATCCGATTAGATCAAGTCTCGTCGCGGCCGCCGGTATAAATGGATCGAGCATATATGTATATCCTCTGCCCGAAATTTCCAGGTACTGATTATCCGATGAAGCAATCGTAATTGTCGAGCAAGCAACTGTACCGCGGGAAAATGATAATTGACGCTCCATCTATCCAGCGACGCTTCTGTTCCAGATGCGATAATTCAATCAATGCAGTACCACAAGGCGAAGAAATACATTCTCTGAATATTATGCTGTCAGCTTTAATCAGTTAGCTGTTGGTAATCACTTTGAAAAATTTATTTGTAGCTGTTGTATAGTATAGAACGAACTTGCAGTAAAATGTCTGTTTTATTTTCTAATTGTATTGCTGACATTTATTCATTTATTTAACTTAACCAGTTGGCGAAATGTTGTCATTTCTTCGTGACGAGTATACTCGTCATAAAAATATCTAGCTGATTAATCACAGCCAGTGGATATTTCTCTTCATTGGTAATGATACAGTTGTCCAAATGAAATTTCTTTGCGGAACGACTTCTGAATATTGCACTGTCCATTCTAACTTTCGCGTTCACTGTCACAGAGCGTCGGATTTCGGCTCGCTGCTGCGGAAGAAAGCTCGACGATCGCCGCGTTAAACAAGAAAGTTACTTAAATGCCCGACCGTCTCCCTCGTTTCCAGCAATAGATTTCATCCCCGACGGGATTATAGTTGAACAACGAGTGGAATGTCGGCGGTCCTGCGTCACAAAGCGACTCGGACGAACAACCGAGCGAACTTTCCAAGTTATTTATCCATGGAATCGGCGCGTCGAGCGAGCGAGCGAGCGAGCAAGCGAGCAAGCGAAAAAAAATGAGATTATGAGATCAGAGGCGGCTACGTAGAAATTCATTTAAGCCCTCGAACGATCCCCGCAAACTTTCCTTTCCCGGTTATGGGACAACGAAATTACCTATCGCTCAACAAATTAAGCTTCGTTTTGATCCGAACGTAAGAGATCCCCTTCTTATTGCTGCGAAGGAAATAGTGACAGTTTGATGCCCCGTCACCCTAATCTGTGACGTGACGGAAACATTTTCGTTCTATCTCTGCCTATTTTCTCTGCCAAATGTTCGTGATGCTGTATCTTCGTTGGTGATGTTTATATAAATGCGAAAATAACCCTTACAAGGAATACAAACGTTAAATGAGTGTAGAATTGCATAAATATGCATTTACTTAGAGAATTAATTGCAATGGTCGTTAGCAGACTGCAGACTTCTATGCTTTTATTATTATTTATTTATTATTATTACTTTTATTATTAACCGTGCACATTAACAAACATTGAATGTGTTATTATTCTGTGCTGGCCACAAGAAATTTTCTCTAGTTGATGCAAGAAATTTTGTCATAAAATAACAACTTGCGAAAAGATCTGCAGTCTAGCTAAGTTCATAAAGAATATATTAAGTTTGTGGAACACACTAACTGAAACTGTTTTATAATTGAACTAATATTTATATATTTACACTTTTAATATTTATGCTTTATATATATATATACTTCAGTTACTACTTAATTAATATTAATATAATGATAATATAAAATACTTTCACATTTTACACTTCATACGAGTAACAATAATATATTTATTCGGACGTTCAGTGATTTTTATTGTAATATTAGCCTCAAGTAACAAATTTATTGGATAAATTCCTCATAAATGTATCTTCACAGTTCGAATGATCAGATGTTTTTCGATTGTAACAATTGCTTAGAAGAAAAGGAAGATTTAACCTTTACTATGTATCTACGTTTACTTGAGTGCATAAATATTGCTGACAAAACAATAGAATATTATACCGACTTTTAAAAAACGGTATGAAACTCATACTATAAACAGACTGTTCCCAGAAATCACCATCACGAGTCAGACTCGTCGAAGTATGGCGAATGGTTAAAGAGACCCCAAAAATACAGTTCAGATGGAACAAAATAAATGAAGGTGCATCGCAAACACCTGGCCGGTTTAGGGGTTGAAGAAAACACGGATTCCGTTCGGTTTCGAGCAGCACGGTCGGCTTCCTCCATATTTTTATTTCCACCCCCGCACAACGGCGCGCCGTTCGAGCGGCGAAAAATCCCGAAAAGGGAAACGCGACGATGCCCTTCGCGCGACGACTACAGCAACAAGTGAGAGCCGAAGAGTTATTGGACCCAAAAGTCTGTAATAATAGCTGTCCCTCCCGCCGCCCACGCCGAGCCCCGAGCGCAAAGTCGGAGCGGAATCGAATGCTTCTCCTCCGTTTTATGCCGGTGCATCTCGATGAGAGAAAGTCAATACAAGGGGACTGCTGGCCGACCGGAAAATCGTCGCGTCTCGCGTACCTTTTTCCGA